TAAAATATTACAGTAAATGTGATTTTAACTGACTTGTGTAGGAATACATACTAGGATAACACCAAAACAAGGTTAGGGGTATAGAAGGGTGGGAAAATTACGTTTTTTTGGGTAAAAGGTCATTGACCCAACCTAAAACACTAAAATATGTATCTTGGGAACACTCTAAGATATATGGTTGATTTTGGTGGCAAAATGCACAGAAAAATGCAAAAACTAAGAAAATAATATAAAAGGAACCTCATTATCAGTGCAGGTATTAATTTGCCTTTATTTTTATACTTTTTTACTGTTCATTAATATTTGTTGTAAATGCTTACCGGAATAAATAAATAAATGGACAGACGGACGGACAATCCAAAAGGATAATTGTTATCCAATCAAATTGGATATTTGTTATTCAATTGGAATTTAAAAACATTCCAATCAGATACTTCTCTCTTCCAATTGGATAAAAAACAACCCAATTGGATAGTAGTTGGAATTTAAAGGCAATCCAATTGGATATTTCTTATCAAATTGGAATCTAAAGGCAATCCAATTCGATATTTGTTATCCAATTGGATTAAGTAAAAAATCCAATTGTGTATTTATAATCCAATTCGAAATCAGTTATCAAATTTGTTCCAATTGGATTTGTTTTTTTATAGTTCAATTGGTATTTATTATCGAATTAGATTTTTTTTTAAATCCCAGTTGGAGATTAATTGTCCAATTGGATTTTTTCAATTTCTAATTGGTCATAATTTGTCATGCGATTGATTCCAATTGCATTTATAAATAAAATCCTATTGGACATATCCAATTGATTTCAATAGGATTTTTTTTTAGGAATATTATGGCCCTACAGTCGATGTCTGTGACACATTATGCTGTTATGTATCAACAAAGCCCTTTTGAATCAGGGTATTGTCTGTGGCAATTATTGTTTCCCTTGTTCTTTTTTTATGATTTTCTTTTCCTTTATTGTCGTCGTGGTTGTTTTCCTTTACGTCCTGACGTGTCCACCATTTTTTTAAAATTTATTTGTTTCCGGGTTTGTCCTGTCATTTTTTAAATATATATTTCAATTTTTGTGTTTCAATTGTACGGAACTGGCCCTTGTAGACGTGTTCGTTACGTGTTGGCCCATATCCTTCACTTCTGTATTTTGTATTATTAAATAAATACAATTTAATTATAACCATGCAATCATTAAATTTCAAAAATTCAGATAATCGCGTTACTTTGATTTTTTCTAGAAAAATAAACTTGTAATTAAAAAATAAATATATATTTCAATTTTTGTGTTTCGATTGTAAGGAACTGGACCTTGTAGACGTGTTCGTCACGTGTTTTCCCATATTCTTCACTTCTGTATTTTGTATTATTGAATAAATACAATTTAATTATAACAATGCATTTATTAAATTTCAAAAATTCAGATAATCGCGTTACTTTGATTTTTTCTAGAAAAATTAACTTGTAATTAAAAAAAAAATCAGAAAAATGAAATAATTGTAGACCCAGCACTGTTATTTGGTTTTTTAAGAATGATTTCGCCACTTTCTTGTGTGCTGCCACTGTTGTAAAAGTGAAATGTCAAATATATTATTTAATTTTTACTACTTCATTAGTTTTATTTCAATGTGTTTTAACCTTCTTGGCTGTCCCAGCGATTGATTCATAGTCATATAGTCAGTGATGGATTTAGAATTTAGCAATGAGGGGGGGGGGTGGGGGTTAGGTGGATAATGCGATTTTCGAAACCCGTATCCACCTCAGGCCCACCATTGTTTGGCCTGAGGTGCGAACATTTTAGGAAATAGTAGCTCTAGATGATCGGAAATGATACTTTTATTTTCACTGTCTTCACGTCACCATTATAATAAATAGTCAAAATGAAGCCCAACAAATTTCTCATGATCTTTTACCAGCGATTTTTGGCAACCATAGAGATATCTAATAAATATGTGTGATGTACTACAGAAAATAAATATTAAAAACATTGTAGATGATGTATTTGATTTAGACCTACCTACTTCAATGCCATTAGTCCACACCATAGTTAAAGGCTGGGGAGGGAACATTTCCAGGGTCTGTGATTTCGGCAACAGTACCTCTCTAAGGAAAATGACACTCTTAATTATAATAACATTCATCATCATCGATCAAATTATTCCCTGTGGTGTTCCATTGAAAATAAAACTCAATTGTCTTTGATGTATTTTTAATTTATTTCACCATGTGCCGAAAGTCAATCTTATCATTACACGCTTTTTCTCATACTTCTCAAATTATAATAAAGGCACGCGCACTCGAGTCGTGTATTATAAGTAATTCGGATGTTTAAATGGCAGAGATAGAGTACCGGTTGTACAGCACACTGTCGGTCATTTATGCAGTTATTTTCAACAATGTTCAGGCATCTCTTTGACTTACGAAATTATTACATTGCGGACGATAAGTGATGAGGGGACCAACCCCACCTCTTTAAGAATATTTAAGGACGTGTCCCTGCCCACCCCCCTGATCATGGGTTTAGGGAGAGGCATCCCCTTCTGTAAAGAATCTCCTAGTATATGTTTTAAGAAAATTGGTGGCGCTATTGAGTAGTGCTATTTGGTGGCGCTATATTTCCTGTTAGCGCGTTAGTTATATCATACCTTATTATTGTACTGATCTAGACTGTTATCAGTCTACTATGTTGTATTGAAAGTTGACATGTTATTACGATTTAAACGTAGAAGTCAAGTGATCATCACTGATTTTGTATTCTGTATTTCTTTAGTCACCAGACTATTTACATCTTGCGTTTGCAGTTTTGAATAAAGTTTCAAAGTTACTGCATTGAAGTGTATTGGTTTGCGTTGTTGTGTTGGTGCCCTCATCGTTAGTAAACTCGACAAGTCAGTCAATTTACAGTGAATGAATTCCGCAGTGATGGAAGAACCAGTAGCAGTGAAAACGTTGACGATAGTTAGAAGGAACAGAAAAGGAGCGCTATCGAGGACAATAAAATCGTTGGAATCTTTGATGAAAGCAAATGCTGGCGATGCTTCGATTAAGGAGACGTTTGAAAAGGCAAAGCGTCAGTGGGAAGCCGTAGAACTGGCGCATCAACAGCTGGTAGATACGCTTATCGAATAGGAAGCGTTAGAAACAGAAGAAAGCTGGATGGCAGAGGCTGAAGCCGTATTTCTCGATACCAGAGTAAAAGCAGAGAAGTATCTGTCAAAGGTAATTAAGGCAAACAATTTGTATTGTAATAATGATGCTTCTGTTGAGATTGTTGGTAAAGTTATTGAACCAAGTTCTCAAGTTAATGAGGCAGAACCCATAAATGTTAGTGGTTCCAACGTAGTTGTAAATTATGATATTGCTGACCCACCGAATCAAGCTGTCGGTGCAGCACAGATAGATGGGAGCTGTACTCCTAACTCCAGTCCAAATCCTCATTTAGCCTTAAACGAGCTAATGTTAGCATTAGAATTACCCAAGGCCAAAATTTTTGAATTTTACGGTGATGCAATTAAATATTGGTCATTTATTAAGAATTTTGAGGTAAACGTAGCCAGTAAGTTGGGTAATGAATCAACTAGATTACAATACTTACTACAGCTTTGCAAAGGGAAAGCTAAGTTATGTATAGAAAGTTGTGCTTTATTGGGTGGGGAGGGATATGAACATGCTAAGGCTATATTGAAACGTAATTTTGGTCAACCCCACCTAATTCTAAACGCACTAATGAATAACTTGACCAACCGTAAAGCCATTAAGGCACATGATGGAGAGGCTCTACGAGAACTCATCTCATGTATGCAAACTTGCCATGTAACCCTTACCCAAATGGGCTATGTTACTGACTAAATCTCAACCAGCAACTTACTCCGTGTCCAAAGTTTATTGCCTGTTTACATGCAGACAGCATGGGCTAAGGCTGCTCAGGGTATATTAAAGGATAGGGAGCCTACCTTTCTTGACCTTCTCACATTTTTAGAAAGACAAGCTAAAATTGCCTGCAATATGTTTGGAAAGAATATAGCTAAAAATAAGACTAATGATACATTTAAGGCAGCAGGTGAACGGCCCAAGGCCAAGTTTAACTATGTTAATTCAAAAGCTAAAATGCCCAAATGTTTCGCGTGTGACGGAGACCATCGTGTGTTTGATTGTGAGAGTTTTGTGAAGATGACCAGAGACGAGAGACTTGAAGTTGTGAAAGCGAAGAGATTGTGTTTCCGATGCCTTTTTCCTGGTCACTCAATTGCTAAATGTAGGAAATTTTCTATCTGTTCCCTCTGTAATTCTAACAAACACCACGAACTTCTTCATAATTCCACCCCCCCATAATTCTGTTCATTCAAATGCAGCTATTTGTGGCAATCCTGTATTTTTAAGAATTCTTCCGGTGACTGTTACGGGAGTAAATGGCAATCGAGTAAATACCCTTGCTTTGCTTGATAGTGGCTCAGACACTAGCTTATGTAGCGAAGATCTTAGGAAGGACCTAGGTGTTTTATGAAAGTCTGTCTCATATACGTCCTCAACGATCAATGGTGATCAAAATAGAATAGGTTCAGTCTTTGACCTGATGGTGCAAGGTTGCAATGAAGCAGATTATATTAATGTCACCTTTCTTTCTGTCCCAGATCTTCCTAACAGCGGTGAAAATATGCCTAGTGAATTTTCTAAATGGGATCATCTCCGATCAATTTCCTGGGGCGATGTATCAAAGTTAAAGTTAGGTTTGCTGATCGGAGCTGACGCTCCTGAAGCCTTTTGGATTAAAGAAGAACGTAGGGGAAGACTTAAAGAGCCGTATGGTATTAGGACTCTCCTTGGTTGGTCGGTGATGGGTCCAGGTGGTCCACGTGTTGGGAAATAAGAGTGTTTATGTTAACAGAATATCTTGCTGTTCGAATGGTGACATCCTAGAACATCTTAAGAGAAGTTGGTCAGTTGATGATACAATTTGTGGTGAAGGGCTTTCGGTTGAAGATGTTAAGGCAAAAGCTATTATGGAATCTACTGTTTCGCAGGCTAAAGACGGTCATTATGAGTTAGGTTTATTGTGGAGAGATACTAATTGTTCATTGCCTCCTAATAGATCATTAGCAGAATGCAGATTAGCAAGTTTAAAACGCAAGTTAGAGAAAAGTGATGACTTACGCCAACAATATACAGAGACTATGGAAGGTTACATTGAGAAAGGGTATGCCGAGCCAGTACTCAGTGAAGGGCGCCCTGGACGAACCTGGCACCTCCCGCACCACCCAGTAATCCATCCACAGAAGGGTAAATTGAGGGTAGTTTTCGATTGTGCGGCCAAATGGCAAGGTATGTCCTTAAATGACCATCTCATGAAAGGCCCAGATACTATTAATAGCCTGGTTGGGGTCTTGCTTCGCTTTAGGCAAGAAAGGGTGGCTTTGGTAGCCGATGTGGAAGGAATGTTCCATCAAGCTAGAGTCATACCAGAGGACAGGGACGTCCTTAGATTTTTGTGGTGGCCAGGTGGCAATTTAGATAGTTCCCCTAGAGAATATCGGATGGCGGTCCACTTATTTGGAGCCACGTCAAGTCCTGCATGCGCAGGTTATGCTTTGCGACGCGCAGCTACCGATAGTGTTAGTAAAAATAATGACTTCATTGGAAAGAAAGTTGTCCAAGCAATTAACGATGATTTCTATGTTGATGATCTGTTGACGTCAACGAATAACGAAAATATGGCGGTAGACATGGTAGATCGTCTTAGGCAAACTTTGAAGGATGGTGGGTTTAGACTCATTAAATGGGTTAGTAATAGTCGTAAGGTGTTGAACAGTCTTCCTGTTTCAGAGAGAGCTCCTACAGTGGCGAACATTGAAGAATTACCTACAGAAAGAACTTTAGGGGTTAGCTGGGATGCAGAAGCAGACTCATTCAGATTCAAAGTATCTCTTCAAGAAAAACCCTTCACGAGGCGTAGTCTGCTCTCTACAGCAAGCCAGGTATTCGATCCCTTAGGATTTAGCTCACCATTTATACTGATAGCTCGTTCTCTTCTGCAGTCTGTTTGTAGAAAAGGTTCAAATTGGGATGAACCCTTGTCCAATGATGAATTAACAAAATGGAAAGAATGGCTTGACCAAGTATCTAAACTGTCAAACGTACAAATCCCTAGATGGATTAGATTAGATGAATCCAAATCTTTCCAGTTACATGTGTTTTGCGATGCCTCGCAAGTAGGCTATGCTGCAGTAGCTTATCTAAGAGTGGTTGACAACAATGATGTTGTAAAATGCTTGTTTGTGTTTGGCAAAACACGGGTAAGCCCCATGAAAGCGATGTCTATACCCCGACTCGAATTAATGGCTGCTGTTTTAGGCACATCTATTTGCGATACTATAACTTCAGAGCTACGGTTTGACCTTGGTGAATGTACGTACTGGACAGATTCAATGATTGTTCTTGCCTATATTCGTAATGAGTCTCGGAGGTTTAAAACATTTGTTGCTAACAGGGTCTCAAGGATCCATAGTGTATCTGCTCCACATCAGTGGAGACATGTTGGTACTAACCAAAACCCTGCAGATGATGGGTCTCGAGGCACATCGAATCTGGAGAGATGGCTTTCCGGTCCAGTTTTTTTGCTGAAAGATTCTAGTGAGTGGCCCAAAACTTGCGAAGGTATTGACTTACCTTCAGATCCAGAAGTAAAAAGATCTATGAAGAACTTCCACGCTCGCATTACCCCTTCAGCTGATATTCTAACTCCTCTCATAGAGAGATACTCTTCACTTTCCAAACTTGTCAGAGTATTTGCTTGGGTTCGACGTTTTGTCAACAATTGCAAACGAGTAAATCCGTCTACTGTCGGAGGTTTATCTGTTGATGAACTTAGTACTAGTGAAGCAATATTGGTTTCATTTTCTCAGAAATGTGAATTCAAATCATGGCAGACTGATCAGAGGTTAGTTAAATTAAAACCTGTCTTAATCTGTGAACTCATTAGAGTAGGTGGTCGCCTCAGTAATTCAGACTTGGATTTTGATGCTAAGCATCCAATTATTTTGTCACCCAAAGGACCTCTTACCGATCTTATAGTTAGACATTACCATAATCTAGTAGGACATGGAGGACTATCCTCCACTCTTAATGCGATTCACCAAAAATATTGGTTAGTGAATGGACGATCAGCGGTAAAAGGCAGATTGAGTAGATGTGTAGTTTGTCGAAAAATACTGGCAAGGCCTGCTGTGCAGGAAATGGCTACCCTCCCTATGGAAAGGGTATCGACTGACAAACCTCCATTTAGTTATGTTGGCATAGATTATTTTGGCCCTATTGAAGTGAAAAGTAGACGATCCCTTGTTAAAAGATACGGATGTATCTTTACCTGTTTAGCTTCCAGAGCTGTTCATTTGGAAGTCTCTGCAACTTTAAACACAGATTCTTTTATTAATGCTTATAGACGCTTTGTGGCTAGGAGAGGTCAGCCCATCAAGGTCTTCAGTGATAACGGAACAAATTTCCAAGCAGCTGATAAGGAACTTCGTTTAGCCCTTCAATCTATGGATAAGAGTAAAGTAGAGTCTTTCTTTCATAATAAAGGTTGTGAATGGCATTTCAACCCGCCATCTGCGAGTCACTACGGAGGAGCATGGGAAAGACTCATCAGATCTGTTAGAAGAATACTTAGTGGAATCCTTCAACAACAAACTGTTAACGAAGAAGTATTAACCACTGTGTTAGCCGAAGTTGAGTCCATTTTAAACTCTCGCCCCTTAACTGACATCTCGTATGACCCTAAGGATGGAGATCCTATCACTCCCAACCATCTACTTGAGAGAGGGTCCCAGTTCTCCGGTTAGTGATGAGTCGGCGAAGTCGTTTGGGAGAAGAAGATGGCTGCAAGTGCAGCATTTGGCTTCCACTTTCTGGGCTAGATGGAAGAAGGAATATTTACCTCTTCTTCAGAAGAGGCAGAAATGGAACACCCCTAAGCAAAACCTCATGGTTGGCGATATTGTCCTTCTTACAGACGAGACTATGCCCCGTGGCAAATGGCCATTAGGAAAGGTAGTGAAGACTCGTGTGAGTAGTGACGGGAGAGTGAGGAGTGTAGAGGTAAAGGTTAAAGGTAGACAATTGAAAAGACCCATAACTAAACTGTGTATTGTCTATAGAAGTCAATTATCGAAGTAATTGTGTAAAATTACTAATTTTACAGAGGAGGAGTGTAAAGAATCTCCTAGTATATGTTTTAAGAAAATTGGTGGCGCTATTGAGTAGTGCTATTTGGTGGCGCTATATTTCCTGTTAGCGCGTTAGTAGCGGCATGTTTGTGAAGAAGAGTGTACCTTCACTTCTGTTACTCATGATAAATTTGCAAATGTTGCATATTTGGGGTATGTTATTTTTATGTATTTGATTAGTATTAGTTTAAGAAAACATTTTAGACATTTCAGAACATTATTGTTAATTTTTACTTATGTCAGTGCGAAACCTCAGTGAAAATTTACATGTTATAATCTAAGCCTCCACTGACCATTGTGTATGAAGGCGTGATAAGGTTACATGTTAATGCTTTGTGAGTAGCCCAGCGGCCTTCGGTGTGTTATAAACCGACCTTAGTGTCATATTGCAAACCACTTGATACAGTAATAATTTCAAGGTTTTACCCCTTTTGTATATGTAACAATTATGTTCCTAAGATTACAGTATGGTATATACATGTAATATGTTGAATTTAATTCATTAAATATTACTGTTAATTATGGAATATTTTATTGATCAATTTGATTACTGTACCTTTTAACTTTTTACAAATGTAAGTAAAAAGATGTGTATAAGAGACAGTATATATATATATATATATTATGCTTAATAGTGCAATGCTTTAGTTATTTATATTAATTGTTTTATCTAGTAGTCATTAGTTGGAGGTACACACCTTTGGTGGCAGTGGTTTAGACTGCTTTTTGTGCTTTCCTGGCAGCTAATGGTTTATTTAATGACGTGTTAATGTTGTGTTTGCTTCATTTTTTAAATTTTCATTATATTTTGTAAATCGTATATTTTGCCTGAATAAATAATTAATAATACTATATTTAGAATGACTATTTTTCGATAATTATGGTATACATACGGTAATTAAAAATATAAATGTATATTTTTGTGCTTGGCAGACTTTGCAAAATCAGAATATGAAGAAGCTCTTGATTTCAAACACGATAAAGAGATAACGGTGGCAAGAGGAGAGTGCATCAACGCATCTTTTAAATCAAATGATAAATCAAATCATGTATGTTTCCAAAAAAAGGAAGGACACAATTATCCGTTTTGTACTCTATTATTAGTATCATATACTTGGCCAGAAAACAAATTAAGGAGACTTTATCCACCACCTGACGAAAAATTGAAAGATACAATAACAGAGAACTGTAATGTTAATGACAGCCATGAACCAGTCGAATTTACGTTCGAATTAAAGGGACGTATTAAAAAAGGTGCAGCTGCAGAAGGATACCTTACATTTAAAGACGTAACTGACGACGTTGAAGGACAATATGTATACTTAATGCAGATAAAACACGAGAAATGTTTGCCTGGTGCGAAACCAAATATAAAACACACATTTTTTGGAAAAACGTGCATTCAACTCTCAAGTAAGTCAGCCTGAAGTAGGTAACCATACAGCCCGTACAACCAAAGTAAAATTTATGTACAGTAGTTCAATTAAACAATGCTTTATCATTTTACTTTGATGCTACATTCCCAATCATAAAACAGTGTAATACAGTATAAGTCTATCCATTTTTATATAGCGCGCTATACGCACAACTAAACTCAAGATTGCGTTCCTGCATAATTAATTCTGTCAATAATAATAATAATTCTTGAATAATTATATAGCGCCAATTTCAGATTATACGATAGATCAAAGGCGCTGAGTGTTATTACCCTTGGTCATTGGATAACATACAATGGCAAACAAGCAAAAAGTGCAACCTTCTCTGCTCCCTGGAGAGTATTCCTAGTCGTGTGCTACAGTCTAGTCTTAGCGCACGAAACTAGTGCATTCAATGGTACAACATCCTACAAGTACCCATTTATACTGGGTAGATAGAGACAACGTAGGTAAAATGCATTGCTTAAGGACACAAGCGACTTCTACAACGGGAGTTTCGAACCCCTGACCTCGAGGTAGGGAATCCACGTCACTGGAACGTATGCGGAAATTCCATAGTATGAAAAATATCAAAATTCTATAGCATATAATATATTAGAGCATTAGGCACTCGAACCTCCTCGTGTACCCACTTATATTTCTGGGTGGAGAGAAGCAATGCAAGTATTGCCTTGACCAATTACACAAGTGACCTGCAGAGCAAAATTACCGAGCCCCAGACTTCAAGTTTCAGAATTTGAGGCACAACCATTACGCCAACCGCTTCCACGTATATAAGCCGTATATAACCTTATTTATAAATATTATATTATTTCTTTTATTTAGATCCCGTTTACAGGAGCAACGTCGACAAGAAACAGTTCATCAGGTGAGAGTGTGGTTTGATTAGCTGTACTCTTATATTGCTATCCATTAGGCCAAATTAAACAAGAAATGCCTGTAAAAAAATATAAAAGTTAAAAAAGAAAGCCGCAACATCTTTACCTTATTCAATTTGTTTATAAAACTAATACTAAATTTATAATATGTGTGAATTTTGTTATGACATGGCATATAATTTACCGTATCGATTGCCTCAATTCTTCCATTTGTATTTTTTTATTATAATACTTCGTCATTCATTTTTTGATTATTTAGATTAATGTTAATAATAATAATAATAATAATAATAATAATATTATTATTATTATTATTATTTTATTATATTTGTATTCATCCCCCTCCCCCACTAGCTTGGCTTATCCCTTCTACTACTGCAGCCAGTGTGTGGCTATTTTTTAATCGGTCGATAAAGCATGGGTACCGCACGATATTTCGATAATAGTTAACTCACCCTAACCCAGCGTACGGCACCGTATTTTTCGACACAATAAATGTGGAATACCCTGGCTCTAACTTGGCTAATAGTAGGCGCTAGGTTGTGTTGTCATTTTCTGTGGTTATTTTTTATGGGATTGTTAATGCATAGGTCTACGTATGTACGACGGTAGATCCTTATAAACCATTTTTTTTTCTTTGCAATAATTTAATTACAAATCCCCCTGATGAACACAGATGAACTGTCTGTAAAGATATCCAAAATACAGGCTTTTTCACCCGCTCGAGTTCTAATTATTTTCCATCCGTAACCTGATCGCTTTAGCTGAATTGCACATACTCAATTGTTGCATAAATTATAATGTTCGATTCGTTTCTATTTCATACGCTCTTCGCAGCCGCTATTTGGTTCCTGAGACTCTTTTGGTAACTGCGCATACTAGAAATGGTTCGATAACTTCACTTACTCAATGCACATGCTCACTGGCTGTCTAGAATTTTCAAGCGAATTCTCACTGTGTTTTTATTAGATAATTCCTTGAGGTTATTGGTAATTGCGCATGCGCATTGCTTAGGTCTTAATTCCAATTACTTCGTAGTAAAAGTTACCGCTATCCTACAGTTTCTTAATGAGTGTTTCCTCTTGATCGACAGCCTAAAGGTGCGACGCGAAAAAAATACTTGTTTAGCGTCACATCTTAACCAATTTTGGAAGGGCAAGGGCGTTTTTCTTTTTCTGTTTACAATCAATCTACCATATCTGTAATCGACGAGTCTCCGTTAAATAAGATGCCTAGCAGGCCATGCCAAAACTTGAATTACATAGGCTACAAGCTCACACATACCAAGCATGATCCTATATTTGTATTTTCAACATCATGAAAAAAGTAAATCAAAACAAGGAATTGTTTCAAAACTTCAATTTTTTTTTTTGTTCAATTGCATTCTAAACAACAAGAGTGTTAAAATGTTCAGCAGGCCTACAATAAATATTAAACATGGTTAGTGAAAACAAATTATGAGTTTATATAACGCATAATATATAGACAACTTTTACAATTGGAAGTAAAATAAACTACGTGAGAATTGTCTTTATGATTTAGTTCTAGTGACACATTTATTTTTTTACTTAATGTATTATTAATTTGCAATAAATTAAATAATAATTAACTTAAAAATGACTCATTTTATTTAAGTATTGGTCTGCCTTTTAGCATTTAGTTATAGTTTTATAATATGTTAGAAAAATAATTTATTCAATTGCATAAATGATTATAGGCCTAATTGTCTTTTTTACCGTTTATTTTTATTATTTTTGTGATCGATTCTTGAGGGGTTTTTTTAAATTTTTTTTCTGTTTTGTGTATGTATTTTATATTCTTGTAAAAAAATTTTAATCCAGCACCATGAAAATAGAGTCTTTGATGATTCACTAATTCATGATTATTATTATTATTATTATTATTATTATTATTATTATTATTATTATTATTATTATTATTATTATTATAATTATTATTATTATTATTATTATTATTATTATTATTATTTTCAGTCCAATTGGAATTGTCCTCAGTGATCAAGTGTATGCATTTGCGCTAAAAATGGAAAAAGAAAAACAAAGAGAAGATAAAACAATTTTACGCTATATTACCTGTGCAGGAAAACTTAATTCTGAAGACAGCAACATTACTATTAGATGGAACGATTTTCCCAAGGTTTTACTGAAACCAGAGTAAGATGTAATATACATTTATTCGGTATATCTTGCAAAAGATATAGAAGGCCATCATTGCAAGGTCATGTGTAGTTATTGTCCTATGGAGGGTTTGTTGTGTTTATAACCTGACCAAATAATTTTCCGGGAATGGGGAGACGAACAGCAATTGAGGTCTTTTAGTCTGAGAATTTAGGGTTGTGGGGATCTATTACCTATTTGGGACCAGAGGGATATGTGCTTTGTTTAACGTTTTCATACGGGGTTGAGGTATTTGGTTGCTGCCGAGGGGGCGAGCTAACACCGGCTTCGCCAATGATTATTGAATTAGAATTTATCAATGTGATAGAATGTAATAACTAAATTGAAATTGTTTACATCTGCAGGGGTGGTTCTAGCCCGTTAGGAAACTTAAGGAGCGTGAATGTGCGAATTGAATAGCCTTATGGAAGAGCCCCTGGTATGGGTGGAAAGGGTAAATCCCCTTTAAACCTCTTGCACCATAACTTATTTCAGTTTGTATTTGATTGATTTTTAAAATTTAGCATGGTGATTTTCTAATAAGCTTTCACAAAAATTACTCTAAATTCCCCACTGATCTTTCAGAGAAGAGTTGTTGAGCTTCGTTGCACTACCAGGTCGGTATCATTCTTATATCTTCCTTGGATTTATAAATGTATCTAAAGACAGACGATTGTTAGGGAAGGTGTTTTCTTTCCTGCCAGACGGAAGCTTTAATTTAATCAACAACTTCGTTGAGACATTGGAATCTAAGGGACCTGTTGAGATTTTAAAATTTGGTGAGTTGTTAGCATAAGAAAAGAAAGTTTAGATAATGGTAACACAAAAACAAATTTTAGTAAAAATAATAATGATCCTCAGATCACTTTAAATAGATAGGCTTATCGTTTGTTTACAGTTTTCTCACCTATCCATGAATGGACCTCACACTCACCTTTTCTTGCAGAAAATTTGCTAATATAACAACAGGATATTTTAGTAAACCTTTGGCCTAGGCCTAATGAGGGTGTTGCGGTGGGGGTGATAATGATGATGTTGGTGGCCCTGATGATATTGGTGGTGCTCGTGGTGGAACTTCGCAATTCGTTAGGGCTGATGGGGGACGAACATATAAGTGGTGGTGTCAGATAATTAGATGAGGAACGCTAGCTGACAAAATGTGGTGATTTTTTTTGTCAACCAAATTCCAGCGGTGAGGGCGGGGCGGCCGGGGGAGGGGCTACGGCCATTTGTTGTTTAAGAGGCGTGTACCCCTAGTTTACCAATGCTCTCATAAATACGCCACTGCTGATGTGTAGGCCTAATGTCGTTATTATAATCAGATTAATTATTATGAAAAAAGTTAGACCTAGGCATTTGAATAGAAAGGGAGTAATTTTTTACAGTTTATTGACATGTCCCAAATTAATGTGCAAACAGTATAGTTTCACACTTATTTTTTTTTAATGATACAGATCACGATAGGTATTTGAGTAAAATTTAAGCCTACCAGTTGCTGGTGCTGATGACTATGATGAAGGGATTGCTAAGGATGATGAGAATGAGTAGCGAATAATTTTTTTCTTTAATTTATATTTCTCATTTCTCATTTTACCGTCATCTATTATAGATCCTCATAGCGGTAAAAAGCTATCAAATGGACGAATTATCGTCGGTGGCTGGATAAAGCGTGGCAAGTATAATTTTGATAAGCATATTGATTTGTATAGTAGTGTCTTCAGCCTTAGCTAAAGATATGCATTATTCGATGGTCAGGCTATACTAAAAGCTTACAAATTAAAATGATGAAAAGATTTACATCAATTGTAGGATTTCAGATTTGATCATTCCCCGCATACTATGCTACACGAATACAAATATTCAATAAAGACGGATATAATTTTAAAAATCTACGGTACCATTTAAATCTACTCGCAACACATTAGGTAATGTGTTATGGAGCAAACTGTGGAACTCCCTTTGACAATACATCACTATGCTCTTTTAAAAGGACTTACGGTATCAATTTCCGTTTCATTGATTTGATCCTAACCACCAAAAAGAAAAATACTTACTAAATAAATGTTGGTGTGACACGAGTAACGAAAAGAAAACTTTAACGTATCTGTATTTGTGGTCATTTTCGTAATGTGTGACAATAGTATATAGAAATAATATACTTTTCCACTACTGCAAATTGAATACCAAACACTGCTACCTAACTGTATAATATTGTTAACTTTTGTTATTAAATACATAAATAAACAAGTACAAGAACGTTTAAGCCAATAAAACTGAATTATCATAACAATTACACCGGTACATGTTAATTATACAAATTCTATTTAATCCATTTTAGAAGTTTGTCTATTGTACCCCTATACCTCTTGTACATAATACATTGAAATGTTGCCTAATAACTAGACGTGACTGTTATTACGTACCAGTATAAACGTGTTTTTAATTCAAAACGCAGTATATTTTTTGTAATTATGTGACTGTACGTATTTCAAATAAAGGATATCAGAAGAGAAAAAGAATGGATGAATTAAAGTTTACTGGCTCTACGTCTTCTAGCGGTAAACTCGACGATGTTGAAAACCAGGCATATGGTAAGCAAACAAAGTTTATAAGTTATAGGTCTTGTTTTATTAATTAATCATACAAATCCATTAATATTAGCTTTTACGTACACATTATAAACAAACATACACACGTAAATAAATCATATCTACATATCCAATAAATACATACATATGCCGATTTACAGACGTATATATATTAAATTACAATACATATTGTACATTTCAGTTTATATTTCACATGTAGCTCTTGTGACGTCACCGATGCTTGTCTAAAATGTGAATATGTTCCTATTTCTTGAAATAGAAAACAACATCAAAAGCAATGGGCGGGGCAGTGCAGCGCATGATCAATAGGCTTTTACCGTCATTCGGCCATTCCTTTACTATTTCGAATGTTGTATTGATGTAGGCCTATATGTGTGATATATAAGGACGAAAAACTCAATACCTCTCCCACCAAAATCCAAGTTTACTAACTCGTCCTCTATGTCTGATATCGTATAATCAGTAAGTAAATTTCCCTCCTTTCGACACCCATTTTATTTGTTCCTATTTCGTGGTCAGAATTATTTTATTACGTTTAATATTTTTTTTAAATACGGTACTTCCCAACTTGTTGCCATAGAATTTAAAATATTTAACAAATTTGTGTTTTTACCTTTTCGTGTTTGCTAAGGATATGAACCGTTTATCATGTGGACAGATGACGAAATTCATTGGAATTTAGGAGAAAATCTGAAGATTGAAGAAGCTGAGAAAAATATGCGGATACAGGTAAGCTACTACTACATACAGTGTTACTATTTTACCATTACTAAAGAAATTCTTACAACTTACTACTAGGTACTACTGTTATTTCTATGATTATGACCGACTATCATATACTAATTTGAGTAAGGACAGAATTTCACTGTCCAGACGCGTGCACAGCTCTAGAAGAAATATATTGTAGAACCATTCTTTTAAATTATTGGCATATTTTGAGTTCCTATTTATATCCATTCAAATATCATAAAAAATACTTTTATTGACTCTACAAAGACAACACATTATGAGAATTCATTATTCAAATTACGTTAGTACTATACAGGGAAAGGACCAGCGGAGTACGGTATTCAGTATGTAGGATAATAAAGTGGAACGTAACACTTCAGTGAGTGCGGTTGATACAAACGCGTATATTTTCACTAAATATAATGGGATAAAATGTAATATAAAGTGACTATGTTAATAACAATAATAAATCAATTCCTGACGAATAAGGAATGTTACATCCATCACATTTTAGCATGTATTGTATAATCCGTTTTTACCCTTTACCAGTTGGCCTATCTTACTTGCTTTAACATCATAAACAAAATTATTATTGGCTCGTTCTTTATTCAAAAGGTAATTTGAATTTCCTTTGCAAAAAAAGGTCTTTCTAAAATTAGCAGACGTAGCAGTATTCAATATTATGCTTTAGAATATTTTGTTTTATACGGCAATATTTTCAGCATTTGGCTGACTTGGCTTCAAAGAATGTTTATTTAAATGATACCCTTGAGTGGATCCATAGGGGTGATGGTCGTCGACGTCCAGACCGCCCCCCCCCCCCCACCACCCTTAACATGTTAGAGTGCTTTATAGCTGGCAAAACGGTGTGCAGATGTTGGTCATAGTTTTTTTGTTTTGGGGGTTTTTTTTTAAGGGGGGGTGGAAAGGGAGTCATATTTGAGAATAATTTTCATGCTAATATTATTGTTGGTTTTTGAGTCTCTCAAAAGATGGGAGGGTGATAAGACAGAAGACGGTTCCCCTAGTCATTTAAACATATGTTATTAATACAGCAATTCCCTTCTTTATGCACCCCATCCTGCAAATATCTGGACCCGAGAGTCACTAATAATACCATTACTACCAGTAGTGCTGTTACTACTTTGATACGACTACCAAATCAGAGCAAATGGATTCAGTTTAAACAAGTTAGGTCAAGTTTATTTAAATAATTCCACGGTTCAGTTCCCGTCGCTGCATCTCCTTGTGTTTCAGCTGGAGGCCTGAAATAACAAGTTATAATAGCGCTCCTCCTTTGAGATGAGACGTTTAAGCCGTTGGTCCTGTGTGTTTTTATGGCCCATGTGTACGTTAAAGAACGCAGTATACTTGTCGGAAAAGAGTAGTGCTATGAAAAAACATATGTAATAATAATGAACCAAGTCTGCCTTATTACGTAAAGAATAACGTATAATCGAAAATTACCGTTCATCACGCTCACTAAGATCATTATCTAAAATGCTTTTACAAATACCCAAGACTTCAACCGCTACCTATGTCCAGAAAGCTTTTTCATCTGATCCTAGGCTTTGGAATGAACTTCCTCTCCATATTCGTTGTGCCGACTCAGTTGAGTCATTTAAGTATTTGCTCAAAAAACATTTTTTTTTTCTAAATCATTAATCACTTTTTTTTTGTCACGCTTTTTATTCAATTTTGTGATTGTACATGTCTCTTGGAGTCACTATCTTGGCCGCAGTCCCTGAGCACCCATCCGTCTGTAGCAGAGCTCTGCTCCTTTGTTCCTGCCACCTAGATAGAGGTCTGGGATTGCACCAAACTTTAAGAGACCTACATTGATCATCATGTTTGTTTTAAATCATTTTTATTTGTTGTTAAGCGCAAAAAGGCAGTTTTTTTTGCAATATGCGCTATATAAATAGCAATTTATTATTATTATTATTATTATTATTATTATTATTATTATTACATTTCAGGTGACAGAAATAGGCAATGGAAAAAGAATAGTTGTGATTATATCATCTTTAGATGCCGGAAAGGTCTTATACAAAGGGCAAAGTAATGATTATTGCACAACGTTCACAAAAATTAATAAAGTAAGTCAAAAGTAGAATACAAATATGTTTATAACCTAAAATCTTTCACAACATTGACATTAATTTTATCGATAATGCCAATGTGGTTCTGATTATATTCATCGACATATTTCAGGATTGGAATCTTAAAATACCCTTAGTGAGTTTCGCAATTACTGATGGATCGTTGGTCTGTGCTTCATCCATGGAATATATGGAAACTTCAGTATCACAGGATGGTGTTATTTCTACCATAAAAGAGGAAGGACCATCTGAAAATACAAGGAAAGAAAATTCATCAAAAACAGACGAACCTACAAACGATAGAGTAGGAACATCCTCTTTAGAAAAGCCACCCGGAGACACAGAAGTGACAATTAAAAATGTACAGAAACGGAGTATGTTCGGCAAAGTGGGTGCCATGGTCACTTATGCACTGTCATTCAACTCAGGAGAGTCATCAACAAGTACATCAACACAAAAATACGAAAGTGTACACGCAAATGAAATACCCTCAATTAATAATGATAATTCAACTGAAAATGAAATGGAAGAAGGCTTACCAGAAACAAGTGCATTATTAGACGATAAAGAAGTAATAATAATAGAAAATCCACTTGAAGGCTCAATGGAAGAGTCCTCAGAAAATGTAAAGAAACGGCGTTCACTCAAATACAAATTTACTAAAAAGGTCAAAAACAAATTTCCAAGAAAGTCGAAAGGGAAGTCATGTGGAAGTGGATCAACAATACAATCTGAAAGTGCATCCCTTACTGAAAAATCTGCACTCAATAAAGATGAATCAACCGAAAATACAATAAAAGAAGAAGCGTCAGAAACAAATAAACAGGAAGGCGATGAACAAATAACATCAATAGAAGAACCACTAGGAGATTCAACGGAAGAGTCCTCTAAAAAGGAAAAGAAACGGAGATTTGCAAAGAAAGTCACCAAGTCCAAAAGATTGTCACCTGGAAGTAAATTGACAAAGGAGGCTGAAACATCAGAAATCGAAATAGCTTCCAACGCCGAAGTATCTTCATCGCAAATACAAGATAGGTCAACATGGGAGGGATTGTGGCATCTGGTACAAGACAAAACCAATGACAAAGCGATCTGCCTGAGACCAGTAAAACACGACACAGAATCATCAGATAAGCCTGGTGGCTTTGTTACTATTTTGGAAAATAAGAGTAAAGTTCAATGTGAACAAATTGTGCCATTCACATGTAAAGGAACATCTTGGTTTTTAATGATTTACACGACACATTATATAAACGACGAAGAAGGTAAACAAAATCTTAGTTTGTGTACTAGATATCATGTGTTCTCACTTGACAAAATTATGGGTGGTAAATAGTGACACCAATATATTTATTACGTACGTGGAAAAAAACCTAATAAATACAAAATTTTATTTGGATAACGGTGTTCATTAGCCTTTAGCCAGTCAACATATTATACTTTATTCATATTTGAAGCCTAATGATGATATAAAATGGTGTCCGGTGTAAACTATAATGCTGATGGTGTATTGACATTTCAAAGTAGTATCCTCATGAGTATCTGTTCATTTTTGTATTGTAAGCCTATAAATTGACTGTTATTTTACATAATATTGAAATAGATTATATTTAGTTGTATTGTAGCATATAACAGTGATAATAATATACTATGCAAATCTGATATATCATTGCAAGCCGATCGCCGAGTGACACTGACGATAAATGGCAATTCGAAGTGGTTTTCTGACGATTGAGATGCATACTGTTTGGTTTAAATGCATGATTTTCGGTAGTACTGTAGAATTAATTGAATAAGGAACGCGACGTAGCTTTCGTCATTTTCGCTGTTATAGTGCAGTAACTTAGTAGGTCTACAGTAATGCTTAAAATATAAAGTGTATTTCTTGAAATTTATCATAAAATTCATCGCATTGTTCACTCCTATAATACTAGAATTTGATTGTAAGCAGTGTTGCAATGAGAATAGTTGGTGTACTTGGCATTCGCTGGGGCCGGGGCCTTGTGGCTATCTGAAACTGGGGCTCTTTTGGGGTCCATTGCGGAATTTAGATGTTCTCGTTTTTAATCAGGTTTGTCATTGTATTTTAAATGTTTTTAACGACGAAAGAAACGATATGATACCAGTGGCGGATCCAGGAATTTGAAATAGAGGGGCCTCAGGGAGATGCTTTACATATCGAGAGTCTAATTTATGATTATGACACCTATACATGGCCGGAAATGGCGCTCACAGACTTTAAATTTGAATAATTTTTTTTTTTATTATTTCGACTTTTTTTGATTTAGGGGTAAACCATAGCCGCATTATTTTTTTCCCATACAGTTAAGGCAGAAATTATAGAGGGAGCAATTTTAGGTCAGTTAGGTGAACTGATATACATGAATATGCATACCTGACTTCCCCCTCACGAAACAGTCCATTGGTGTATCGAGGAAGCTGTCGTTTTTTATGCGTAGATGGATGCTACAGCTTAGGCCAAAATCTCCCAAATAGGCCTTGGTAATACAGTAAAGCAAAAGACAGTGTAAAAAATTAGTGGATTATAATTTGTAATAATATCCCTGTGACTAGACACAGTTTATGTACAGCAGCATGGTTTTTGAAAGTATAAAGAAGCACAGTAATATTGAATCTGCCTATTTGATTACATTAAATGTATAGGCCTAGATATGATATGTGTTGTTTGTAGCAGTGTACCTATTGCTGTGTGCATGACTTAATGGCTGGTAAAATTAGTAAGGATTGTTTGTGAACCATCTGTAAATCAGTGAAACTATGTTTAATTCCATCTGTTTTGATTGGTTTTTTTCACTTATTTTTTAAAATGAGCTATTCAGTTGTTTTAATTAAGTACACAGCGGAGACAGAACTGAGGAGTCTGGGGCACACATGGGGTACCATACAACGGTTGGCCCAGAACAGATCTGAGTGGAAGGACTTCGTTGCTGCCCTACATGCCAGAGGCATAACTGGCAGTAAGTACAGCCTTTAATAAACAGGTTATATAGTCAGGCAGAGGCGTAGGCCGGGGGTGCGGTTTCACCACTTCCCATTTTAAAAAAAAGTCAAAAGTTCTACTGTAGTAAGCCTAAGCATAAGCTTGCTATTGTACTACACTGTTGATTAGGCCATCAAAAGAACACTATAAACCTATAATATGCCTAGTCGTAAAACAGAATAAAAACTTATTTTATTTTATCCCAAATGTGAATAAACACTACAATAATTTGAAATAAATACAGTGTAGGCCTATTCTTTCCCTTTCGTATTGTTTACGTGCCGGCGCTAATGTTTTTTTTTTTTTTTTTTTTTTTTTTTTTTCATTACACGCATGGGAAGTTCAATAATTACTACGAATTTGTTTATTGCGCATGCCATGACTATGAGCAAAAATTCACATTTTCGCACTATTGGGCGGACTGCATAAAACATCGTGTGCCAATGAATTGCGACATTAAAACGGACTCTGGTATCTACACAGGAGAAAAATGTGCAATAAACACTAGAACAGTGGGCAGGGGCCCTTTTGGTCCCCTGGCGCTGAGGGCCACGTTCAGACTACAAAAATTGACGTATGCAGAGAATATTATGTACCAAACGTGGGGTCTGGGCGCTTTCGCGTTCTATGGCATTATGTTCATTACTTTTTACACATTGGAATTTTTGGTTTATGTATTGTTATTGGACCCAAGAAAAGCATACTTGATTTTAATTAAATATCACTAATAAACATATTACAATAAATACCAAACAAAGCGAGCCAATTGAAATCAATAAATGTTTATAGACAAAAACATATGTTTCATACTCATGTGTCAATTCTTTTGCTCATGGTCTAACTTCTTGTTTCACGTGGTTGTTGGGCTTTTTTTTAAATAAAAGGTTTAATGTTTTTACCGATATATAGACTGGAGATGGTGATGATAATAAAAATGCCCTAATCACTCGACTTCGGCTTTGAAAAGGCCTTGGTTATTTGTTAAAAAATATTTGAATTTGCTAGGGTCCCCTTGAGGCTCCGGGGCCTTGGCCTTAGCCAGTGACAGCTCATATCCGTTACGCCACTGTACTAGAAACGTTATCACGCTCTTATTGTTATTATATAATTTATAATGTATATATATATATATTATATAATATAATATATATAGTAAATATATATATATATATATAGTAAATATTTATATAGTAAATATTTTATTTTTTGTGTAATAATTACCTTACTTATTAATATCAAATATCATCACTTAAATTTACTTTAGCTAGAAATGAAGTTACAGACGAACAAAGTATTATTTACAATTATATTAAGCATATTTTATCAAATCACGATACAAAATTAAGAACACAATTGTGCCAAAAAAGACATTAATAATTATACATCACAAAACGCTACCAACATGGCCGGCGGAACCGGGGGAGGGGCAGGGCCCCCCCCCCACTCTTTATCAAAAAATATACATGTCTAGAGATTTTTTGTATGATCGGAAAGCAAGAAAAGAAAGAGGGAAGAAGGAGGAGAAGGATGGGAAAGAGAATGTTTATCCAGTCCCCGACCGAGTTAAATTTTCTTGCAATTCACATTGGCGGATCTGGGGGAGGGGGGTCATTGGTCCTGACCCCTTCCTTGGGCAACAAAAAAAAAGAATTCTAGACCAACCTTTTCAGGACCCGTGAGCTGGTTTTTTTTAATTTTTTTTAATTACAATAAGAAAATTAGAATTTTGAAGAACATAAAAGTCATTAAAACACACTTCAAATGTCGAGAATGCTCATTTCCCACCATCTAGGAATCAAAATTTTCCCGGGGAGAACCCCCGGATCACCTTTGTTTTTTGGGGGATTTATCGATTCATGGAAAAAAGAATACGCATGCAACTACTCATTTATTTATGTAGGCCTATACACACATAAAATAGAAAATGAGAAAAATTTACCTGACCGTTTTCAAGAGGGGAAAACCTTGAACTTAAAACGTCATTTAAAAGACATTTCAAAAGTCAGGAAAGCTCATTTCCCGCACTCTAGAAATCGAAATTTTCCCGGGCGAACCCGGACCCCCTTTTTCTTTGGGGTTCATTGATTCATTGAATCATTTTCAAGAGGGGGAAAACCTTGAAATTGAAGAAATTTAAAGTAGTTAAAAGACACTCAGAAGTCGCGAAAGCTCATTTCCAGCCTTCTAGGAATCAAAATTTTCCCGGGGGAAAACCCCGGACCCCCTTTCTTTTTGGGATTTGTCGATTCATGAAAAAAAAAAATCGTATGCAACAACTCAATATTTTTTTATGTAATTATACACACATAAGGCCTACCGTATTTAATGTAATAACAAGTGGAAAATTTACCTGACCGTTTTCAAGAGAGAAATTTTGAATTTTGAAGAACTTAAAATCAAAATAGCTAAAAGATACTTCAGAAGTAGGGAAAGCTCGTTTCCTACCATTTAATCAACATTTTCCCGAGGAGAACCTGAACCTCCCTTTTCTCTTTGGGTTCATTGATTCATCATTATAATTTTCAAGAGGGGAAAACCTTATTTTGAAGAACTTAAAAGTAATTAAAAGACAACTCAGAAGTCGGGAAAACTCATTTCCCGCCATCAGGGAATCGAAATTTTCCCGGGGGAGAACCAACGTCCGGGAGAGAACCCCGGACCCTTCCCCACCGTTTCTTTGGAGCTTATCGATTCATTGAAAAAAGAATACGTATGCAACTACTAATTTTTTTTTTATGGAGGCCTATGTATACACACATAACCGGCCAATTTACTGTAATAAGAATGAAAAAGTTTACCTGACCGTTTTCAAGAGGGGGAAACCTTGAATTTTGAATAACAAAGTCATTAGACACCTAGCTCAAAAGTCGAGAAAGGTCATTTCCCGCCACCTAGAAATCAAAATTTTCCCGGGGGAGGACCACCGGATCCCCATTCGTTTTTGGCAAAATGTTGACCCCACCCCCTAGGTTTGATTCCAGATCTGCATGATTCATATTCCCATTCAGCTTATAAATGCCCCCCCCCCCCACGTTCCGCTGGCCCTGCAAACACCCAGACCCCCACCGGAGCCCTTTGCGGCCCCTGACCCTCCACGCCTGGCTCGGGGCCTTCGGCTTCGTGACGCTACTGGTCATTTGTTGTAGTTCCGCTTGCTTGCTATATAACTCTAGGCCTATTACTTTTATTCATATTGTTATATCATGGAGGTGTAGTTATATGAACGAAATGTTTGTAAAAAAAATCAACATTAAAACAATACAAGAATTCAATTTCTTATTATGTGTCCTATCATTTTTAAACGTTTACCCTTCAGAATCAGTAGTATAACAGTTAGCATGCTTTATATCTCCTGCTGCTACTGGAATAACTGATCAGATTCAACGGTGCTTTTTATACTTTCAAAGACCATGTTGTACGTAAACAGTATCCAGGCATAAGGATATTATTACAATGTCCAAAAATGTTTACTGTGTCGACTACACTCGACCGACTACCAGATATTTTTTGGCCTAGCACCCTACTGTTATACCACGTATAATATACGTCACAAAACGTTACACTGTCCAGAAACATTTTTGTATCGAGTTTTTATTTTCTCTCTCTCTTTTTTTTCTTTGTAATAAAACAGTTAGGTCAGCCTAAATGTTCAGCTTGAAGTCGCTTGTGATTTTATCCAGATGTATTGCTTGTCTGCTATTATAACCGACCAAAATGTTAAATGTAATAGTGTTTGTCAAGTTTAGGCCTACGATTTTTAAATAAAGTCTACTTTAAAAGTTATTTAAATAATTCGTCGCTCACATCACAAACTAACACAATCAAAGTAGATTGTGTTAGCTCGTGAAATCAAGATAGCGCGTCAAAATACGCGCTGTTGTTAAGGACTTTTTGTGTGGTAAAGAATACAAAATTGCTTGACAACAAATACGCGCTCGTTTTGATGCGCTACTGTGATTTCACGAACTAACACAATCTACTTTGGTTGTGCTAGTTCGTGATGTGAGCGATAAATTATACTTCTTTCAAAAATAATTATGCCTCTTTTATGATAGCAGGTATAAAGGGTGTTGTGATTCAGGTTATAAGTCATTCACTTAAGATAAAATGTATGTGTTGTTTACAGTTTTTTTTTTTT